TATCAGTTTGCTGTTCTATTTCGATTTCGTTCTGAATTTCTTCAGATGATATTAATTCATCCTAAAAAAGAAAAAAATTAAGCACAGTACGACGGAAGATTCTGAATAATAAATGTATAAATATACCATAGCTTAAGATATACCTTATCTAAGTCATAGTTCTGCTGATTCATTTCGACTCGTTCTGAATTTCTTGCGTTCTCCAGAAGCCATTGATCCTATAAAAAAAAAAAAGTAATGACGGTACGATACGGCAAAGAAATGGACTAATAAGAACAATTTGAAAATGTAGTTTAACACAACGCTTGCTGTCAGGCCCCTGAATCATGTCAGAGGGGAACACAAACGTCCGCATGAACGATGAAGGCCAAGTTTCTTTAACTGTTTGGGAAAGATGCAAATTCCTCCTTCAGAATCAACAGTCCCTAACAGTCCCCAAATTGGAAAACTTTTCCAAACATTGAACATACGCTTATTGACAAGCCGCAGCCTTTCCCGTAAAATGTACGGTATTCAACAAAGTGCTATTCATATATCTCCACAGAGACTTACTAGGTTTCTTTAACACGTACCTTTACGTTAAGCTTAGCGACTTGTACGACCTTTGCTTCACTTCCGTGTTTATAATACGTTCCCATTTTAAAACTTGTTAATAACGAAGTATTTCTTTATTTCTATCAAGATTTTCATGAACTTTGGTCTTTCGATATTTCAAGAAATCAATTAGACTTGGTTTGGTGAATAGTCTTCAAACATTATAAAGAGGTTAGTGATGACATACTTTTCAGATCAGCACCTATAGATATATTTACCAAGTTATCTCTAACATCCTTTCTAAGTTTCATCTTTATTAATCTTTAAAGGGAGAGTGAATAAAGGAATATGTATATGATTTTTACACATAAACGCGTCAAAACGCGTGTTAAAATGGTTCACGCCGTGACTAATAAAGCAAATAAATATATCACAAGCCGTTTCTTTTTTGATTATCAAATTGTGTAACTGATAGCTGTATTTTTTTTGATTCAGGAGTTTGTGCTACGGTGGCGGGTATATTCAAGAAACGCAGCTCATATATGAAGTGGTGGTGGTTAATTGCAGAGACCCGGAAAAATTCCATTTTTATAATAAATGAATAAATCGGAATTCTTGTTGTATAATGGAATAAAATGGAATTTTTTGAATTATTAATAGATTTTTTTTGACACATGACAATTAACCAATAATAATCACGGATCAGCGGAAGAAATTAATTTAAAATCTTTCGAGTGGAAGGATAATTTAAGTTTTGATTATATGGTCTATAATCGACATTAGTCCGAAATTTATATTATGTATATCACGTGACTTTACATTGATATTTCACGTGACTTTATAATAAAATGATGCAAAAATTATCTTTTATTTTTCATTTAATTTTCATAAACATATTCTGGGATTTTTCTATGAGATTTGTATTTTTTTACTACATATTCAGCAAGTTTACCTGTTTTTCTATATCTATATATATCTATATAATGCCATGATTTTCTTGCAAATCGATAATTTATTACTATTTCAACAGAAGCTAATGCTCTTAAAACAATCTCTTGTAATCCTTATCATGAATAATTGCAATTTTCTTTTGTAAATTATTTGACAACTTCCAATATTGTTTAATAAAATTTAACTCACAATGAAATTTAAGAAAAAAAATACAAATATGACTTGTCATTTCAATTATTTTAGCTAAAGTTTCTTTTTGAACTAAAAAGTCTGGTTGAAGAGAAATGATTTTACGCTTACAACAATGTATATGATTAATATCTTATATTTTTATCCACCATTTTTTTTTATAATCCTTGTTCTATTAAAATTTGTTTAATACCTTTTGGTTGACTATTATCAAAATTTATTTTTTGAAGTTGATTATTAGGCCTTTATCTTGTATCTCTCATTTTTGAAACATTTTTATTACCTGAACCAATATTCATTTTATTTGTTACAGGAGCATCTAGCATAAATATCACGTAATTTAAACTATTATCAACATAAAAACTCTAATACATCCTGAAAATATTATTTTAAAAATTAAAATTACTTTTAATTCAACTTATTCTACTAAATCTTGACTTGTCTAATATCTGTTTTTATTTTTTTCTAATTTTAAAATTACACATATTTTTTCTAAAATTGTTGGATTTAAAGAAATTTCATTCAATGTTAAATAAAGAAGTCCTTGAATTTTAGTTAAAAATTCACTAATCATGATTGATTTTTCATTTCTCTTTTTACGTAATGGTAATTATTCATTTTGAACCTAAATTCCTCTTTTTTTATCATTAGAATAAAATATACTTTCATCATAAATAATTAAAATATATTCACATTCATTTCTTTTAATTGTAATAGAACTTGATGCATATTTTCTCCTTCATAAATAGCCATTAAAATTTCATATTTTGTCATCTGTTCAAGAAATAATTTTTAATATTGAATAACATCATTTCGCTCATGACCATCATAATAAAACCCCTGCTTATATATTTGGTAATTATATCCTAAAATATTAAGCTAATGTTATATAGTTGAAATAGAAATAGTTTTTTTTATAATATTAAAATTAGAAATTAATTCTTCTTCAATAAAACTTTTAATATATATAAAGTTACATTACCATCTTAACTTCTAATCTATTAATGATATTTTTCTACAACATCTTTATTATCTATTAATCTTATTGTTTCTTGATACTGATCTTGTAAAAAAATTGATAATTTATTATATTTTAACTAATATTTAACATTCTTTTTAATTTTTCAAAGTTTATAAGAACCATAAGTAAAATACATCATTTTTGCTACTTCTTCACTTACTACTATTTTTTTAATTTCATTTATTTTAATTTTCATTAAATATTCATAAATTATATACTTTCTATTATATTCAATAGTTAACATTTGCTTGTATTTTAATTCAAGCTCCATTTTTAAATTTTTCAATCATTAACTAATATTTTCTGTTAATATTTCTGATATTAGTATTGTAATTGAGTTAAAAAATTGAATAATTTTTAATGTCTTTTTAGATGCCTTAATCCATGTATCACTTGGACTATACTTATCATAATAGGTTGATTTTGATATTTTTAATTAGATAAGAACTGCAATATTTTTTTTCTAAATGTGTATTTTGTTTCTAACTTAAATCTATTTTTAATAATCAATTTTTAATCTCCTCTTTTATCTCAATATTACTTTCTAATTTCAAACCACTATCTTCTTTATTACTTCACAAGTCCTTATTATCTTCAAATATATTTAACATTTCTTTACCACTTTCACCTTCAGGTTTATTTAATAGCTTTTTTTCATTACCAATTTAGGTTTATTTAATATTTCTTCTTCACTATTACCACTACTATCTTCAAGTTCATATGACATTTCTTCAAGTATTTTTTTATTAGTTTTTAATATAAACTCTTCACCTTTTTTACGTATACATTACTTTATAACATATTTTGCTTTACTTAAGGGTAGTATTGTAATATTATAATTAAATAAAATCTAAAGTAAGAATCTATATTATAGTTCTTATAAAACTATTTTTTTAAAAACTTTTTTTTCCTAATTAAAACCTATTCTTTCATTAAATTTTAAAAAATAAGATATTATTCTATTAAATTTCAAAAATAATATATCTGATTTTAAAATGAGACCATTTAAATTTTTTCAGAAAATTTATGTAAAATAAGTTAGTAACTAACTAAAAAATAAAATAAAGTTCTATTCTTTTATT